TCTGAGGTATCTGTCAAGTTTCACAAAGGGAAAAATTATCCCAATGTTAATAATCAAAATTAATTTCTTAAAAAGAGTTGCATAGGTGCATATCAAGTAGCAGGAATCAGAAATAATGATTCTCCACAAGTTATGAAGAATACGTACCCTTACCCTACTAAGGGTAGCCCAGTTAATAAGAAATGAGTCAAAGAAAAGATTGTCTTTTCTGCAAGGGTACTCCTTTTTCTAAGAACTGCAAAGCATACAATTCATGGAATGATGAAGTTGAAAGATTGTAGGAACTTGACAGATGTATCAAGTGTTTAGGTCATCACAATGTAAAGGATTGTCATGCCAAATTAAACAACTGTTATCAATGTCACAAAGGAAGACACCATATAGTCATGTGTAAGGGTCTATATGATAATGTTGATAATAATGATAATGTTGACAATCCTGACACAACAGTAGCTAATGTAAAAATTGCTGCTAATGTTAATAATGATGGCTTTGCTGAAGTAGCCTTACCCGTGTTACAGGTAAAAATTCATGATAAAAGGCATAAATCAAAAAATGTAACTGCATTATTGGACCAGGGATCCCAGCGTACTTTCATAAAATGTAAATGTCTTGATGGTATGAAAGTACAGATGGGAGATCCCACAACTTTAAAATTATCTGGTTTTCTCACGGATAAAAGGGCTCAATTGTATGACACTGTTTATGTAACTGTCAGGTTGGGCAATGAGAAAAAACGTGTTAATGCAGTAATTGTAGATAGACTTCCAGAGAAAATATCTACAGTAGGGCTTAGTAAAGCTACAGAAAGACTTTCACATAATGTAAATTTAGCACCTTCTGGTGTAAGTGATGATTCTGTAGGCCCAATAAATATTTTGATAGGTAGTGACTAATATGCCTCCTTTGTAAAGGGTATAATAAAGAAATGTGGTGTCACCCTTTTAAAGACTGCAGGAGGCCATGTAATGTATGGTAGGATTCCTCGTAATAATAATGCATGACTAGAGGAAACTACCAATACCATAACTGTGTGTCTTACTCATGAAATCGTACCCCAGTATAATTTTTCCATAGAGGATGGTGTTGAGCCAGTGCATAAATTGTGGGAATTAGACAGCATTGGAATAAATGTAAATGAAGAAAGTCCAGACAATTCTTTTACTCAGGAACAATACCTGAGAGATGTGAAATTTGAATCTGGACAATACTGGGTGCAACTTCCGTGGAGACTGAACCATCCAGAATTGCCCACTAATTATAGAATGGCATATGGACAATTAAAGGCTCAGCTCCGCGAACTGAGTAAGACACCAGAATTGTTAACTGCCTATAATGATATAATTGCTGAGCAGTTAATTAATAAATTTATAGAAGAGGTACCTCCTGAGCAAGCCAAAATTTATGGTCACTATTTGCCACATCACGGAGTGAAGAAGGATTCTAAGACCACTCCTTTGAGGATTGTGTTTAATTGTAGTGCCAGGAGTAACAAAAATGTACCTAGTTTAAATGACTGTTTGATGACAGGTCCGTCGTTGACGGAAAAATTAGGAGATATCTTATTAAATTTCAGGGTGAAGAATTATGCCTTTACCGCTGACATAAGTAAAGCTTTCCTAAGAGTGCGTTTACAAGAGGCTGACCGGGATTGTACCCGCTTCTTATGGCCTGAGAATCCTAGTGACCCACTTAGCCCTCTGAAAACCTTTCACTTTAGGAGCGTATTATTTGGTGCTACATCCAGTCCGTTCCTACTTCAAGCGACGATAAATGCACACCTTAAACGTATGGAAAGTCCATTGAGTAAAGTAATGAGCAACAATTTTATGTGGACAATTTCCTGGGTGTGACGTCAACTGAAAAGGAACTGTTAATAACTTATAGAGAGGCTAATAAAATAATGCAAAGTGCAAATATGCCTCTGAGGGAATGGAATAGTAATTCGTCCAAATTAAAGGACAAAATAAGTAAAGATTACCCTGGAGATGAAGTGCCAAAATGTAGTAATGTATTGGGTTTAACTTGAGATACTCATAGAGATTTGTTAATGTTAAAACCTAATAATTACAGTATGCCCAATAAATTAACTAAGAGAGTCTTGCTTGCTGAAGTTTCCAAATGTTTTGATCCATTAGGTTTAGTGTGACCCCTTACTATAAGAGGGAAATTATTAATACAGGAATTATGGAAACTTAAATGTGCCTGGGATGAAATTCTACCTGAGGAATTCATTAACAGGTGGGATGAATTAATTATTGATTATGAAAAAATTCCAATGTTGGAGTTCCCACGCCAGGCGGCCGATCCAAATGGGAAAAATGTACTCCACATTTTTTGTGATGCTTCAAAATTGGCATATGGAGCAGTTGTTATCTTCAATGGAATAGTGTTATGCTCCTTGTTATGTCTAGGCTTAAAGTGTCCCCCCAATTAAATCACCGTACCTTGCCTCAGTTAAGAAATTAACAGCCATTTATGTAGTGTCCAATTAGCAAATTATATGAAGAAATAAGTTGCAGGAGTAATATAGCGACACTGTATTTGGTCTGATAATGAGGTATCCTTACAATGATTGTATGGAACAGTAAATTGTTGTACGATACAAAACAGAGTCACTGAAATTAATCAGATGCAAGAGAACTATAATAGTTTGGGTCAGCTAATTGTTACATTTAAAATCATATACCTGGGAGGAGAATCCAGCTGAAATTTCTTGTCCGAGGTTAACTTATGCTAAATTTGTAAATGCTGTTTCTGGTTTAAAGGACCGAGCTGGTTGGAAAAAAGCTAATTGGCCTGTACAAAAAGATATTATTGCTCCTGTAAAAAATTACTGTGACACCGTTCAATTATTTGTCCATCCTTAGCCATTGATTAATAGGTATTTTCTTTACCAAACTAATCATGTAATCTTGTTGATGTTTAAATTTCTAAACAAGATGAGTATCTCATATAAGTTTTCACATCCTCTTGAATATTGGATAAAGAGGGTACAGGAAGAAATCTATGGAAATGAGATTAAATTGATGATGGAAAGAAAAATTGTGAAAGGTTCTATAATAGAGAAATTGGGGCTGTATTTAGAGAACAATGTAATTAGGTGCAGAGGTAGGTTACAAAATACTGAATTGGGTGATTATGCTAGACACCCTATCTTACTGCCCAAAACTCATCATCTAACAAATTTAATTGTTCTAACTGCCCATAAAAATGTAATGCATGGTGGGGTACAAGATACCTTGTGGATTCCACAAGGACGGCAAAGTGTAAAAAGGGTGATTAAATCTTGTGTAATATGTCACGTGTGGATGCCAGATCCTATATGTACATAGGCCCTCCACCATTGCCAAATGAGCAATTTGAGTTGTTTAGCAACAAACTCCACCCGGCCACAGTGTGAAAAATACTGTATATTTTCTGGAAATACGGTGATTTATAGGTAAATAGATGGCCTATGTTGTATTTAATAAAAATTATGTTATAAAAAATGGGAATTTCTGCGCCTGCGCAGAGGAGACTCGCCATGTTTGAACTAGTTAACACAAACGTTAGTGAATAATCGGAAGAATTTTCGTGCACTAGAGGTTAAATTGGGCTGACACCTCTCAAATAGGAGCCGAAATTGTTGGATGTGCATTCCTGCATAACTTGAGATATCAGACGACTGGACAAGACAGCTCCAGGAACCTCAGATAAGCTATCTAAATTTGTGTTATTATATTCTGGCCAGCATTATTTCAAAATTTAGTTAGAATGAGGTTTTTGAGTATGATACAAATTAATCTCCAGTCAAATTGGCGAGTGATATTAAGATATATTCTCCTTCTGTTATATAAATGTGTATAAGTATCATTAATTTTAATATACAGTCCACCAATTTTATATTTACCAGAATTCCTGGTGTGGTATACATTTCATTTGTAATTATAGGTCTAGAGCAACTTGTGGACATGACAGTTGTAGGTATCGAAGGGGGACATTTTTGTGACCTATGTGTCCCAAATTCCTACTTGTCTAAGTAACTTTGATAAATAATAATTATCTGTGTTACCATTTACTAGTATGTACCTTATGAATTACATCCAGATAAATGCAATTTTCCACAAACACGTTATTAGAAGACAGGGGTACTTACGTACCCCTCAATAAGAACCCTTTGGACAAGGTTAATAATAAATTTAATAAACAACTTAGAAATTTACTGAAAGGTAATGAGGAGTTAATTAAACAGTTGGAAAAGCTGGCTGGAAACCCCAGGTTTCCCAGCCAAGTCTATAATTAGTTCAGTACGATCGGCATCATATGCCTTATCAAAATAGTTGGTAAAAATATTAACTCCATTGCTTGGCAACATTTCTGAAGCCCATTTAAAAAAAATGTTGATCTCATCAAACGAATTGCAAATATCAACTGTCTAATGATTTTACGCTTGTTAGTTTCGATGTCACTACCTGTTCAAAATGAGTCCTTGTTCCCGACTTGCTATCTTATTTGGAAGAAGAATTAAATGAGTTCTCTTTGCCTTTTGATAAAAATACCATTACTGAATTGATTAGGATTTATGTAGTTGATTGCAAATTTGAGTTTTAGGGGAAATACTATGCTCAAAAACAAAGAATGGCGATGGGTAATCCATTATCCCCATTTTTGAGCAATCTTTATATGGAATTTATCGAGGCTAGACTGTTGAACGATATCCTGCCATGTAGAGCTAAATGGTTCAGATATGTGGACGATATCTTGTGTCTTTGGTCAAATGATATGGCCCTGGAAACGATTTTACCAAGAATTAACGCTTTAGTCCTGTCTCTTAAATTCACCGTGGAGAAAGAGATGGGCTGTAAACTTCCATTCTTAGATGTGTTGATACACTGGGTTGATAGAAAGTTTAAGTTTACAATATATAGGAAGGCCACCAATGTGTGCTTATACATTCACTACTGTTCCAACCATGAGACTAAAGTCAAAAGGAGTGTATTTCTGACTATGTTTTTGAGAGCCTATAGAGTGTGCAGTCCGGAGTTCCTAGATGAAGAAATTAAGAAAATATTTGACATTGGCATGAAACTGCGGCATCCTAAGGTGTTTGTGGAATCTGCCTTGCTGACAGCTAAGAAAACTTATTGTAGAACAGAACCTAAGGTAACACCTCAGAGTAAGAATGTGCTGGTCCTCCCATATAACGAGAATTTATCTATCCTGCCAAATGCTCTTAGAAGATTAAATATTCAAGTAGTATTTAAAAATTCACGGACTGTTAGAAGCATCCTGATGAAGAATGCATCCCAACAACGTGTCGGTGGTATCTACAAAGATGGTTGCAATGGCTGCAGCCTATCCTATCTGGGACAAACTGGAAAGTCATTGGAGGTGAGAATGTCCCAACACCGTTATTCGATACGTATAGCAAAGGAGTCAAACGCGATTTTCAACCATATTAAAGCCTGTAATAACCCAGCAAACTGCCAGGAACCAAGAGTCATCTTCCGTTGTTCCTCTTGGCTTGAAACAAATATTGTGGAATCGGCAGTTATTAAGCATGGTAGGTAGTCATTATACAATATCAGTGACGGGCTGTTCATATTAGATGCTTTTTTAGTTGAGGCAATAGTATACTGTTTAAAATTGGGCTCTTGTACGTATGCAACAGACTATCTTAAATGTGGTGCCACATCGGGCAATTTGGGCCTTTTTTCCTGCAGTTTCTGAAGGATGAACCTGAGTTTGCCTCAGAATTAGGTGGGATGAATATCGGTGGTCATCTTGTTATTGCAAATGTCTCCCTCCCTTAAAAATTTATGTTCATGAGCCCCATTTCCTTTACATAACTTTTAGAAGTCTCCCCTCTATATGTTAGGGTTTTCTCTCGTCATTTAAAGGACACGTTGTCCTGTGGAGGGTACAATATAATTGCCAGTGACTCCTATGTCACAAATAATATTTATATACGTATTTAAAGTTATTCTTGTTATAGCGGAATATGACTGAATTTATTATTATTGTTACGTTAATTACGTTTAGGTTACAATATCAATCCATACCACGGGTGGAAATAGAACCCGCGGTCAGAGAGTCTCAAAACTCCAGACCGTAGCATTAGCCACTGGACCAGCTAGCCACAATAAGATTCGTCCAACTAGGTATATTTCTACACCATAGGAAGGTTAACATAGGCACCACTGTGACCACAAATGCAAGTTTTTACAGACGAATCTCCAGCTAGCGTGGCCGTGACGAACTCTAGCTCAAGTCCCCTAAAAGCCGTCAACATGGCTCACGAAATCGTGTCATTACGATTTCGTTAGTCATGTTTACAATATCAATGCTTGTGGGATTTTTCTAATGCTATAATATTCATCCTTCTGGCTATTGTGCCTGTGGGCACTTCGGTTCCTTCTCTTCTCTCCCTCTCTCACTTTTCCCGTGAAGCGGTCCTGGAACGTTCGGTGGAAACCCCCCCCTTTCCCGCAATTTTGCAAGCTCCCGATGTTCTTGATTGCAAAAAAGAAA